TAAGAACCAAGAGAGATTATGTAAAGGTGCAGATTTCCAATGATGAATGTCATTATATTGTATACCTAAAATGTACCAATAAAATTAACTTTAAAAAAAAGAATGATAGGATAAATGCGCTCAAATTGAGGGGGAATATTTTAAAGGTGTTTAATAGCAATTTGACTTTTACTGTAATAATTTTATTAAAATTTAAGCATTTACCATATGTTTTGATCATATCTCACACACCCTGTGCTTTTTAATTTTGCTGTGTACTACAAATGTATTTAATTATTGCCATAATTTTTGTTTCCTGTTTCTCTTTCCCAAGACAATAACCTCTATAGAAGCAGGGACTATGCTTGTCTTGTTCACTAGTTTATCGCCAGAACCTAGAATGATACATGTAGTGGGTGCTCAATAAATATTTGTAGTTTTAATTTTGTAACTAGAAGAACAATTTGTCTCAAAGGGAGCCATGTATTCATGTGTCTAATTATTGTTTCTTAGTCAGTACGTAGTGTTATGGACTCCGAGGCTTTGCTTTTGTGGCAAATCTCAACCAGTCATCTGACCAAATATTGCTAAGAGTCACAAGGGGACTTGTCAAAAAAAGATTTAAAAGTTCACTCTGAATCCAAGCTCAATACCAAAAATACATTCAAAGCACAGGGGCTATTGAATCAACAATATCATATTTACATGAAAGGCTTTATATCATTGGATGCAGTTCTATCTCTGAAAGAATACTGAAGATTTAGGAGGAGTGACTTTTTATTAGATTAATTCTAGAATTGCTTCTATTCGTCCAACAATTAAGCCAGATTCTGTTAAATATTATATTCCTAAACCCATTTGGCCAGGACTTCTTGCTAATAAACCTGTCATATTTAAGTATAAATAAATTGTTGCCACCACAAAGAGTAAAATATCTACAAAGTCCTCAACATAACCAAAGGTTGTCGCATCTTGGACACTCACACAAATTAACTTGGACTGCAGCATAGGGGGAACAAAGTAGAAAAAAAAAGTTATGGCTGTTCTTATTCATGCTCTTGGAAATGGGGAAGCTATGCTCACACTAGCAAAAGGGCCAGGTCACATATAGGGGATGAAAAGGAAAACATCACATTTTTTGTCATTTTTTTCACTTTCTCATAGTTTCCCATTATACTTTCACCCACCATTATTGAATATTTAGTTGGAGAAAAGTAAAGTTACTCCTGGAAGCAGTAGCCATCCACAGAATCAGTCACTTTGACATGCAATTAAATGTATGGAAACCCCTAGAAGAATAGCTGGTGTGCATAGATGCTCCAAAATCTTTGTTTAAGAAAAAAGCTCACGGACAGATTTATAGTTTCCCATACGTTCATTTTGAGGATGTTTCCCTCATCAAGCTTCCTGAGCAGAGGTAGTTAATTATTCTCTTATTTAAAGAAATAAAACTGTAAGAATGCCTCAAAACAGTTCAGGTGCAGGGGCCTGGGGAAACGATTCACCCTCATCAGATACTGTACTTCAGAAGTACCATATGGCCCAAGGCAACACGTAGTTCAGAAATTAAATGGAAGATCATATTACCAAAACACATGTTTCTACCACAGCACACAGCTCGGTATTAGAAGTGACCACTGCCAGCCCCAAGAGGCGGTTGGTAACTGTCAGAGCAGGCCATCTGAGGTTACCGTTCAAGAGGAAGACACCTGCCACTTCCCTTATCACACCTGAAGAATGGGTTCATCCCTTTAATTAATCCAATTTGTAGAAGAAAGATGAGTGTCCTTGAAATCAGAAAAGGTAATTGTTATGTTTATCATACATCATAGCTCTTTGAGAATAACAACTAAAATTAGAAACTAAGAACTGTATTTGGATTATTTCATTTCATCCTCACAAAAATGCCTCTGAGTTAACTCATTATCCCACTTTTAGATGAGGAAACTGAACTGTACAGATAGCAAGTTACAGGTTAAATATCAAGTAAAGGGTAGAGTTTGGATGCGAAGTCGGGTAGTCCGAACCCAGAGTCAACAATCTGAACAAAGCTGGAGGGACTCATCTTGACGTGATGGTAGCCATCTTGAGTCACAATTTCCATGACTGCCCCTGAGTAACCCTGGTGGATTCCTGTCTACCGATACATAGTTTCTGAGCATGCTATAAATAGACACACCCACTAATGTGGTCTATGGAGCTTTAGGATCCGACACTGGTGCCAGGAATGTGCCTGGCTCTTGAGATAAACTAGATGCATTCTGGCTTGGATGAAGTCCCTTTTCCTGACCATTTCATAAGCTCCTATCTCTGACTCAAATTCCAGGTATTCACCTGGTTTTGTGGCCACCCAGGACCACATTGCTGTCAATAAAACCCCAAGAAACTGCACCCTCCACATTGGATATGTCTGCCTCTTCCTTCAGTCTCATGGCACACTGGAGCCGGTTCTCATACACTGGACCTGGTTCTTCCAGAACAAATGCTAAATTTGAATATGACATTTTAGTGAAACAAAAATTATGAAACATGAAACAAGTCAACAACTGACATTGCTATAATCACAAAGATGTTTAACAATTGTACTGTTTTTCCTTCAATGTTATTTTATGGAGTATCCCTAACAGGTAAACAGGATTATTATAGTTTGAATCTTAATTTAATGATACTAAATTAAAACAGCTTATTTAGTTCAGTTTGGGTGTGCAGCTGATTTCGAAGAAGCTAAGTTTTCTTGGTCCGAGACATCAGCTGGGGAAGGAGGGCACCTCTAGCTTGGAGCCACATAGCTAGCCCCAGGCTACGTCTCAGGGACTCAGGCATCACTACTGACTTGTTTACTGCCACTAAGTCACAACGCCTATCATTTCTACTTCTGGCTTCATAGCTATCCAAGATTGTGAAAGCTGGAAAACAAGTGAAAACTATAAATAGTGGTTAATTAACTCTCAAAGCACAATGATAAAAAGTAGAAACAGTGAGTCCCACGGCCCAAGCAGAGAAACAGTTGCTTCTGGAGTCACTCAGCGAAGTCCCGGCTGCCGGCCCCCAGCCCTCCGCCTCTCCACTTTCTCCTCCTCCCTCCTGCTCTCCACCGCCACCACACACGCTGCGCTGTACACATCTCTTCCACTGTGGTTTCTCTCTCGACTCCTTTGCATCTTTTGCCTTTCTCTTTTTCTCCATTCTTCCCCTCCTCCCCTCCTTCTTCCAACTCACCTGAGAATCACACAGTCTTGAAACCCTAATTTATAGAGGTTTTCAGAGATCACATCAACATTTTTATCAACATCCCAATGCTGTGCATGGGAAAACAACAGTCCAAAGAAGTGATTTACACATGAACATGTGGTTATTTAGTGGAGAATGCATGTCCTAAGTCAAATGTTCTCTCCACCATGTCACACATCCAGCCTTATTGTAAAAGTTAAGACTATCTGAAAACCTTTGTATTTCCTAATATTTTATAAGTAACTGAGAAAATCCATTTAAATATGAGAAAATTTTATTTCCATGTAGTCCTTCTTTTTAAAAATGAATCCTCCTCACCTAACAAATAATCTTTCCAAATAACAGAGCTAGGTTTAGAAGACAATTTCAAGCTCACTCCATGCAAAATAGTAAGAAATGTTTAGAAAACCAGTTCTTAAATTCATTTTCACTCGTAAGTTCCATGGATAAGGTGATTAAAAGCTATGACTATTCTCCTCAGTAAAAAAATAAAATCGCTCAACATTTTCCATAGCATTTTAGGAATTTATGAACATCCTGGAGCCCATATGTGAGTCCCTTAAAAGTTAAGAATTCCTCTTAAATTAAAAAATGTGGTGTGTTTCTGAATTAGTAGTTTTCAAAGTGGGATGTATATATGCTAGGAGGTGTACATGATGATTATGGAATGTTGAAGGAAAAAAATAATGAAACTCTTTTTTCTGATTATAAACTTCATTCTTCTAAAGTCTTTTTATTTCTTATGTATCTGACATGCATAACAGAGTAGTATAGTAACAGATATATTTAATTCATTCAAAAGTAGAAATGAATACAACGTAGTTATATGTTCCACTATCTTTTCCATGGCTAGGAAAGGCGAGGCTAACTGCTGGAGACAGCAGACAACTTCTTAGACTTTCGCTTCCCACAAGGGCCCTGCCCACCAGGCACAGTCTCTCCTCACCTGGTCCTTTGTCTTCCCTTCTCGCTCACGAATGTGGTTAGCAACGATCCTTTCTGTTTCCTCACAAAGTCTGGGGAAATTTGCCAGCTGTAAAAAAAACAAAAACAAAAACAAAAACAAAACTAAAAAATCAGGTCTGAGTGTTTATAATACAGTACTCAAAAGATTGTGCTATGAAAAAGAAAAGCAGAGACAGATTATGCTATTTTATAGAAGATACTAGTTACAATTCTAGAAGCAAAAGTGCAATGTCAAGAACTCCTGCAGAAGAATGTCCAAGTGATAAAAACGCCTCCACAAACTATAATCAGTAGCTTGTCATCTAAAAGGAGATACTTCAAAACCCGCACAGCCATCCCTAGGAATAAAGCCAGAACCTAGGTCCTATCTACCTGGGGACTTAAAATCTCAAGATGAAGAAGATGGAAAAGAGGATGAGGAAAGCAATAATGGCTAACATTTATGTAGTACTTACCATGGCACTTCATGAATCATCTCACTGAATATTCACAACAATCATAAGAAACAGACCTGATTATTAAGCTCATTTTACAGAGGAGGAAACTGAAGCACAGGGAGGTTAAGCAACTTATCCAAAACCATATAGCTCAGAACTGGCAGACCCAGGGTTTCAACTCAAGTTTTAGGATTCTAGAGCCCAAGGTCTTGCTCATTATCTGGTGAACATGACTTATTCCATGAGTCACAGAGATTACTATGATGTTTTGAAAATTCTCCCCAATAGGTGTATATACATACACATTTTTATAAAACTGTAGAAATAATGCATGTTGGTCATTTACCCCATCATGCAGATAATTGTCCTAAAGACACTCTGTAAAAGTTAAACATTAATTACAGTTTTCTTCAATACAAGGAAGAAAATAGGATGCTATGGTAATGGTGAAGGAGCCCTAATCTAGAAGAGGAATTTAATCAGACACAGCTGTTGGGGAGTGGGGGTGGGGAATGTAGAGCTTGTCAAGCACAGGAACCACATAAGTATCTGATAAAGTCAAACAGATTAATGTAGATCCACATAAAGAATATAATGTGGTCATTTCAACTCACATTTTTAATAATATCTATTGATATGGTATTTGTACTATGATGCTAAGGGAAGAAAATTAGCCCATTGAATAACTGATCTGATTATATACAACTGTAAACACATACACACAGTTACACATCACCCTATTCCCTTGATAATCTTCAAGGATACAGCCCAAGAGCTTTACAAATCCCAAAGTGCTTGAGTAATACTTGAGCACATAATATTTGCCTAAACTCCTTTAGATGTGGCTGCTCTGTGGTTGCCCAGGGTCACTGTGCCTGCCATGTTTACAGCTTGTGTGATGCATAATGGTGTCTCTCTAAGGTAACAAGCCCCTGTGCTTCAAAGAACTATCACAACCACCAGCTCACCTGCTCTCCTCATGCTACACATCTACTGGCTAGATAAGGGAAGAGATCTGCATAAACACTTCTGAATGTTAATCCATACTGAGAACTCTGAATTTTGCACAGTTTTACTCCTCTGTGTTTCCAAAGTTAACTGCAGTGGATATAGAATACTTTTATACCAATATCATAAAAATATAGAAACCTAGCTGCCTTCATCACCTCAAAAGTCATAATCCAGTGTGTCTTCAGGAGGCCACCAATGCCTCATTTTTAGAGTGATAAGAATTTGCTCCTATCTGAGTCCTGTGACATATACTTACAGGAGCTTCTTTCACAAATTACAGTTACTGCAGGATCCAAATGAAGCTTCCATCTCCCATTTTAGAAACATCCACGAGGGACCCCTTTTGACACTGTATATTATCATCCCCAGAACCTCTTTTGACACTGTACATTATCTTCTGTGAGGTTTATATAAGGTTTCAGAGATGGGAGGGACAGATACTCAATACTGGTCCTTCTTGACTAATACAAACCTGGGTGGTACATCTCACACTAACCACCTACCTGCTTGGGGACCCCAGAACAATGGCTTCTCCCCTGCACCCAGACAGCATTCCCAGCCACCCAGGCACCTTGCTCTTCAGTTACAGCTACACTGTTAGAGAATCACACGCCACAGAGTAGTGACTATGGGAGGAGCAGTGGTCTACCAAGGAGGGGTGGGATGCCTTTAACAACATTGAGGATTTCAGCAGAAGGTTATTTTTAAAACCACCAAATAGTAGCGATATAAATATTTATTCAGAAACTAAATATTTGACAACTGAAGGACCCCAGGCCAGTACATGGCCATCATTAAGTCAGGGAAAGGGCAAAATGACAAGAGTATCCCATGAAGTAGAGTCATCTAAGAATTCCTCCAATTTACTGGCCTTGGCAGAAGAACTGGCGTGTGTGTGTGTGTGTGTGTGTGTGTGTGTGTGTGTGTGAGAGAGAGAGAGAGACAGAGAGAGAGAGACAGAGAGAGAGAGACAGAGAGAGAGAGAGGGAGAGAGAAACAGAGACACTGACTCAGACAGAGACAGAGAGAGATCTTTTCAACTTTACTACCCTAGGGCTCAATTTTACCAAGAACCTGACTGAGTCCTTAATTTTGCACCTACAATTACAACAACTGAAATCAATAAGCCTAAATTCTAATCACAGCAAAAGAAAAAGAGAAAGACCAGAAGAACTGTCTTCATGGAGAGAAAGGAGAGAGAACACTCAGCAGAATAACACATAGGCATCAGAAAGTGATCAGACTAGCATAGTCGCTGGCTGGATGGTCCAGAAAAGATGGGAAAGCAGGGCGGTACAATTCTGCTGGTTTTACATGTTGGCTTTCAAACAGAAAGCTCAATTGTTTGGAAGAAGGAGAAAAAGTTCTGCTGATGTCCAAAATGATTTCTGATGAGGCTTCTCACCACTCAGGGCACTAGCTCACCCAACAGGAGTCCCTCCTCGCTCTGTGTGGCCCTTTCCCTAACTTTAAGACACACTCAGCTCTGGCTGCTCAGGGCAATCTCTGGCCTCTCCTCTAAGGCTTCTAACTGTATTTAGTTTCCTCAGTTATTTAAATCAGTATAACTTTTAATGTCTTTTGCTCTGAGTGTTGAAATAAAATGGTTTTGGGTGTTTTTGTCAAGGTCATCAAAATTCTAAACATGTATGTTTAAATGATATTGACCTAGAAGACATCATCCTTCGACCTTTATTCACTGTTGATTCTATAAATATTCTGTAAACTGATTTATGTATGATCAAAGAACTAAGGATTTGCTATTAGTTAGAATAATTTTATTATCCTAAATTTATATTGTATCAGTCATTTATTGGGCAACTGCTATTGGCCAGTTTGTATCAGAACACCTGATATTAAAACTTTACTATCTTGGGCCAGGGATTTAGCTCAGTGGTTCCATCACCTGCCTCACAAGCGCAAGGACCTGAGTTCAATCCCCAGTACCAAAAAAAAAAAACAAAAACAAAACTTTACTATCTTAAGTGGCAGGTCAACTGTACAGATAAACAGTCAAAATAATTGGGGGGGCAGGGAGTGATTGGCTAACTATGCTATTAACACTTCCAGTCCAAACAGTTCATCTATTAAATGGCAAATTCTAAATAGCTTATGGTTCAAATTACTTGAACATTCTTAATGGAGCAGCCATATATATGAACTTTCAAAATTTACTTCAAAGAAAATTTTAATGATATATGTTTGAGAAAAAGCAGTATTATAATTTTTAAAAGACAAATACATATTTTAATTACATCCAATGTTTTCAGTGTAAACATAGTATATAATTATTTCAATGAAACCTCAACATAAAATTTTAAGCATAGAACACATTTTTCTCTACAGGAAAAAATCACTTGAAAGACATTTCCATCCAACAAAACAAAAATTACACACTTGTAAAATTTACTGATCATTAATTAATTGGGTCATAAAAGCCAGGTTATTAAGTTTCTTCTGGAATCCCCAGACAAGATTTCTATAGTTTCAAGAATAATTGGCCTGAGGTCCTGAGTCGCACAGAACACGCCGAATCAGCCCACTGCAGACAGGCAGGTCTGTGCACT